TGTCCTTGTCACGAACAGGGAAGGTATATCTGCGTCGTGCATGCATGTGTTTTTTCAGGAAACAAATCCTTGATATTTCTCTTCAGTCATGTTTCTTGTATTCCCTTTTTCAAGACTTTGCTGTAGCTGAGAACTTCATAAAACTTGTGCAAAATTTCTTGGTCCGCTACATAAATCCATAAATCCTGCTCTTCTGCTTTGTTTCGTTGACGGATGTCTATTTCGTTGACGGATGTCTCCTCCACTTTCCACTTATTTAATTGTTATCGTATCTTTCTTAATTAATAGTTTCTAACCAGGTTGTCTCGGCTTGATTCTAGGGATTCGGATCATCTCTGCTATCTAAAAAGTAGTGGAGGGATCACTACATAATCACAATTATTAATTATCTATGATTTTTTTTTGTACAAATTAGGAATGCGTGCAATACACGGGGCTATAGTGAGTGTAAGATTTAGATTGTATCATGACCGCCTACTAAGTGATCAACGATTGAGATTAAAAGTAGTGGTCTCTCCAAATTTTTTTTTTATAGCGGAGAGGATCCAAATCCTGATTCTAGTCCTTTTTTCCTACTCAGAGAAACAAACGACGACCAGAATTGTATGGCTTATTTTCATTCCGGTACCCTAATACATCAAAAGTTTCAGTTCCATTTTAACATTGAAACCCCGGTCATTTGATTTTCTGTTAAAATTTTATTACAAGTACGTCCTTTTTACCCAGCTGCTAGGGATTCAAACCACCGAAAATTTCTAATTAGCAGTGGTAGGGGACAGGGTTTCAGTGTAAATGTAGCCGAAAATCTAACGAAATCTAGACTGGAGTATCCAATTGTGTGATATGGAATCCAAACTTTGAGGTATCAAAGAGTTCAGAAAATACTAATTTGGGATATCAAAGTGAAACAACGGGCGCGCTTCATTTGGACTGCCAAAGTGAAAATAAGCCACATTTTATTTGTAGCAGGCAATCAGTTCTGTAAGGATTAATCAAGGAGCCCAAATCTACAGAAACTAGTATGAGGTACAAACCCCGATAAAGCCATGGTAGCAAAGCTTCTTTAAGAAACTACTGTTGTTTAGGGCGCGTTTGGTTGCCTCTTTTAGAGGGGGAAATGGGTTAAAAGCATGTCAAAAGTGTCAGTTTTGACAGGCTTTTTTGCAAAACGCCTCTAAAAGAGATGTTTTTGCAAGAAAACCTATCAAAACTGACACTTTTGACAGGCTTTCCCCTTCCCTCTTCTGCAAACAAACAACCCCTTTGAGACCAGGTAAACTAAAAGCATTGTCATGAAGACTAAGAATCAGCTTCTTTCAAATAGTGACATCTACCTACTACAAAAAAATTCTAAGTTTCAGTGTGAAACAGCAATCTTAAGTTGGTGATCGTCTCGTATCTTATGCTTCAAAAGCCTTAGATATAGGACATCAAACCTTTGAGCTAGCACTCTAGTTATCATTAGAGAAATGTCTGTTTCTATATGTACCTTACATATTATAAGGGGATCTTAAGATTCAAAGAAGAAAAATGAAGGAAACTTCGTGTCACCAAACTTGTAATAAGAATAATATTATTCCTCCTTATATTGGTTTACACTACGTTTCATTCTTCATCTTTGATCCGCGCAGACTTAGCCAACTTCTTCTAGTTTCATTTTTTTTCTCACACCCATTTTCTATGTTCTGACTTCTGAGCAGCTAATGAAAAGATCAACACAAACAAGAATTTCCAGCATCAAAGACTAGAATTTAATAGTAAATGAATCATTAATAGTGTTCAGAAAATTCTAACATTGGAGGTTGACGACAAGGAGACGAGAATAATAACAGCCTATGGGCTATGGCAATAAGATTGATTATTCTTTACTCCATAATGGTGGAAAAAATCCATATAGTTGGCATATGTGACCCTAAAGATAAGTATATCTAAGTTTTTTATTAGGAAAAAAAAAGTATGCCCTACACTCCACCCAACTTATCACTATAAGAATCTTCAAGAGATCAAAGATGACCACAAAAGCTCACAATTTAATAAGGCTCCCAAAGTTGAATATCTACAACGCTTGGATCCTACAAAGGAAAGATAATTCATGTCCCTTGATGGCAAACAATATATATATATATAGATCATAGAAAAGGCTCAACCTTTTGGATATCTGGATTCACTGCTCCTCTCTGTTGACAAATATTAGAAAATTTGGTATGTGGTTTGTATGTGTTTAAGCTATGTACGTAGTAGCCTAGTGAGCTGCAAACAGCTGACTAGTTCTTAAAGTAATGCTTGAAATTAATGCCTGTTGTTTCCTCAGCCAAGAACTTGGGAGCATCATGAGGAGTTGATCAAGGTTGTGGATAGAACAGGGATATGCTCCTAATTTAAAAAAATGGCTTATTCATGGTCACTAAAAATAACAATGCAAAAAAAAAAAAAAAAAACTAATCGGAACATCCTTCTTAATTTCGTTCCTCTCTGTTGACAAATATTAGAAAATTTGGTATGTGGTTTGTATGTGTTTAAGCTATGTACGTAGTAGCCTAGTGAGCTGCAAACAGCTGACTAGTTCTTAAAGTAATGCTTGAAATTAATGCCTGTTGTTTCCTCAGCCAAGAACTTGGGAGCATCATGAGGAGTTGATCAAGGTTGTGGATAGAACAGGGATATGCTCCTAATTTAAAAAAATGGCTTATTCATGGTCACTAAAAATAAAAAAAAAAAAAAAAAAAAAAAAAACTAATCGGAACATCCTTCTTAATTTCGTCAAGGTCATGGTCACATGACTAGTAATTAATGTAAGAAAATTTACAAATCACCAAGCAGTGGCGAGTGAAGAACACAAATTAATTAGCTACAAGAAAATTAAACCATGCTAGCATAAAGGGCATAATTCCTCTAAAAACAACTTTTGAAGACACATGAACATATATATATACATGTATTAATTTGCTTAACTATGGACAAGCTAGAAAACTGCAGTGACACAACTCAACTTCATATTGAAATTAATCCAAAAACTTCGATCTCTACATGTAAGAGGAAGTAATATCCCTAACATCAGAGGGCATGAAAGCCAAGATCAAGAGAACAACAAATATGCCAATTGGGAGTAACAGCAACATAAAAGGCGGGGGAGGCAACGGCGGCAAAATAAGCGGAAGAATCACTAACGACGCAGTGATGCAGAGAAGTACCAGAAAAGATTGCAGGCTGAAGTAGCCCCGATCGTCGTTCGCATTGTGTTGAGCAGCCCCATTGTAGTCTTCAAGTTTCCTTGCTCTGCCTTCAGCTGTCCTCGCTTGCATTGTACCGGGACAATGAGCTTCTACACCTTCTAGGCCCTCTAGCAACTCTAGCTCTGATTTCAACAATTTTCCCAATTTCATTTAGTGTTACCTGGCGGAAATCAATTAATAAGGTAGATCTACCGAAGTTCTTGTCACATTCAGAGATTTGTGATCCCAAATAAACGATGCCCGAATGCTAAAATCAACAATGTGAGGGATAATTTGACCTTTTTCGATTGATCTCTACTATCAAGAAGCAAGCATCGGATATTTATGGATCCAGAGTAGATTCCTCATTCTACTGTTGTTTGATTCTCCTAGTGATTTACTCCTGAATCCGAACCTGATAATAGTTGAAAATGCAAAATGAACCAGAATTTCTAAAATTCGTCGTACTCAAGAAATTGAATGAGGGTTTAATAGTGTAAAAATATTGGAACGTATGTATGAAGGTAGGGAGAACTATAAATCTGATCAGCTACTTCAGACTCTTCTCTTTCTTAATGTGCGAGAATAAATTGAAAACATGAGTAAAAACATGAACATGTTTCACTTTGAAATGAAAATATCTATTCAATTTTAAATCTCGAGATGACCCAAGTGAGAATATGTACCTGTTGTGCTAAATCTCTCTTGCATCTCTTCTCTTCAATCCCTGGGCACCACAAATAAGTAACAGTGAAGACAAGATAAATTCAAAGACAAAGGAGGAGAAAAATAAGCAAAATAAGGAAAAGGGTTAACCTAAATCCAATCACAGGTGTACAATGAAACAAAGATGAATCCAATACCTTTGTTGATGGTGAAGGAGACTATACCTGTGATTGTGATGTGGGTCTCTTTTTATTTTTCTTCTTAATGATGGTGTTTATGAGGAAGAAAGAGAGAAATGGGGTCAGCATAGGATTTTGTATTCTGAGATTTTGAGGGTGGATACATTGCACTCTATCCTCAAATTGTTAACCCCCATGCAAGTGGTTATGATGGTGGAGATATTTTTTTTAATAGTTTCTTTCTTAGTCTTTGGACATGAGCTGGTCCTTTTCGTGGGTTAAGGTACTTCTCCCCTTGCCCACCTTTGCATTTTTTCTCCCTTATTGTCTCTTCCAATATTCTGCCACCAGTCAAAGTTTTTTTTAATTGGGTATCTTGTTTTTACCAACTTTCTTTCTTTTTTCTATATGCCCAATTCATTACAAATTGCCACCTTAGTAGGGGTGCTAATATGTATCTGTATCCGAGAAAATATCCGTAACCGTATCTTAACAGATACGAATATGGATTTGTGGTGAAATATCTGTATCTGTATCCAAAATATCCGAATACATATTAGTTATACTCTTACGATAGTTTTGATTCTTAGATTATGGATTTGTGGTTAATTTTGATGATCAAGATGTCTAATCTTAACATTTCAGTTATAATGAAGATATTAACGAACTCTTTTGTATCACATGAACTATATTTTTCTCAATACTATTTATTTTTCTCATATCTACTTTATATATGCATGCATATCCGCTTATATATCCGCATGCATATCCGTAACCGTATTCGATTTTAACGGATATGGTTATAAAATTTTCTTACCGAGATATATCTGTATCTGTATCTGTATCTGAGATGGGTAAGCGGATATATCTGTATCTGTATCTGTAACCGAGATGGGTAAGCGGATATGGATATGATAAGCATCATATCCGAGCCGTATCCGGACCGAATGCACCCCTACACCTTACTATTTGCATGGTTAACTATAGATGGACCTCAGTAATATCACCTGATTGCAGACACACCCTCTATTGTTGAAGATAAACTCAATTGAATTTTTTGATTCGTCATTTTACCAAATGAACATAGATGTGTTAAAGGTTCATACTATTGCATTAAAACTCTTATGTTGTGATGAATGTTGAGGATTGTGATTTTTATATGATAATGTATCTATGTAGATTAAAGGCTCTTTTATAGACTGAACTCGAACTCACGAAGCGATATTTTTAAATCCACTTTAAACATCAATGGCCAATGGGAATCAAACCACAACGGCTCTTCACCATATGTCAAAAGTGGTTACCACTATAGTAAAACTCTAAAGTTATAATGAACGTTAAGTATTACAATTTTACACTCTAATAAGTTATACTTTTGATCATTTAAATTCTAAAGCCTCACTTATTATATATGGTTGGTTCCCCAAAAATCACAAGAATAAGTATAGTTGAAATTGCGGATTGAGATATAAACTTTTTTTTTTGACAGAAAAACAGGGGATGCTCCCCGTTCATTAAAATATATATGTTATAGTTACAAAAATTGACAGAAAAACAGGGGATGCTCCCCGTTCATTAAAATATATATGTTATAGTTACAAAAAGTAGGATACGAATTGTATCCAAATGTTGGTAGATACGTTCATTAAAATATATATGTTATAGTTACAAAAAGTAGGATACGAATTGTATCCAAATGTTGGTAGATAGAAAATAAAATTCAACTAAATAGGGACGTATAACTTTCTTCTTTCAGAGATCTGTGAAGATGAGGAGTGGGCCTTGCCGTCACTCATCGTTGAGATATAAACTTATTTTAATAAAAGAGGTACCAAAGATATACACTAGCGTTAAGTGGCTTGTCGTAATTACACTGGAGCAGGTGAATCTCATCACTTGCATCTCTTCATTGTTTATTTTGTTAAATTATATGGTGCCTCATACTTAGTATATATCTAATATTCTTTCTAGGTTCTAAAAAACAATAAACAAATTGGACAAAAAATACGGCAGGCTACTTTTCTACAGGACAAAAAAATATGGTAGGCTACCTTAGATGTTCAAATTTATTCGAGTTTTTTTCTTTTACAAAAATTTGTTGGAAATTTAAATGAAGGTCACGTTTGTTTCTCTCTAACCCTGTTCCTTGGCGTGTTTCAAACATTACTAGATGTTGATATCTCATTTTTTTTTTGTCCTTAACCTATTAAAACTGTTTCGAACTTGTCACTGTAGCATACCGTAGATAAGATTTGTCCTTAAGTATTGAATTATTTCAACCTTTTTGTCCTCAAGCCCATTTTATTGCCTGCAAGCTACCTTGTTTATTTGTCTTTATACCATTTTGAGTTGTTCGATTAATATATCGCCAAAAGTATCGGTGCACTACTGAAGGTATTTTTCCTAATTTTTGATGTTAAGATGGGACCGCTCAACTATGAAAAAAAAAAATTTCGAGTTGGACTCATAATCTCCTTGTAAATCCATATAGTTTTTCTTGAAGTTATTGTTATAATACTATAATAATTTAATCAAATGAAACTAACCTTCTAATTTGTTGGCGAGAGGCAACCTAACATTGCATTGTTTTAGTATATGGTTCTTTCTAAAAACCATCTTAAAACAGAGTAATTATACGACAACCATCTTTTATTTTTTAAATTTATTCATAACTACCTTTAAAGTTGGTTTTTGTTACAATCAACCACCTCCCTATTGAATTTTTACTAAAAATTAAGCTTAAAAAATTAAGTTTAATGTATATGATCAAGTTGTACCCTCACAAGAGCTAAACACCAGAAGAATCAATGATTGTGAGTTTTTTAAGACTAACTTTGGGCTTTTAGTGAAAATTTTGACTAGAATATAGTTGATTGCAACAAAAGGCAACTATAAAGGTGGTTTATGTATAAATTAAAAAAAATAAAAGATGTCGCCGTATAATTTCTTGTTTTTTAAGGTGGTTTCCAAGGGGAAAAAACCCCTTTAATATAAACTGAAACTTGGATTGATTTATATCTCTGTTGTCATTACCCTTGTTCGGTAGTTTTAATCTTTAAAGAGAATATTGGGTTATAATTTATAAAGATATATACTTTATTTGAGATGGCGGATTTACAAGTACCAAGAAAGTTCTTAGTGTACCACTTTTTTTTTCATGATCAGTATGCGGTGCGGTATGATCCGAATGATTTGCCATTTCTTTAGAAAAATCAAGAAGAAGTACTAAAATTGGAATTTCATAAAAGCTAATTGTCAAATTGTTTTAACATGTAGTACAATATCATCATATAGTAACAACAGTTGACAAAAATTTTCAAAATTTCAACATTCCCATGCTATGCTTTTGTGGTCCAACTATCGCATTATCAATCTAGTGTATGTCAAATGGTCAAGCACATTACTCATCTAAATAAAAGTCCTCCAATTTGACTTTTTATCAAACCACCCAATATGTTCAAAGAATTTGACAAATACTTAAAGAGAACTAAATAAATATTCTATTAGAACACCGTATAGAAAGGAATGATCTGTAATATCCACGGGTTATCAGAGGGTTAGTTTGAGAATCATAACTCTGTTGGGTTGAACACACAACTCGTGCCCTTCCGGATCTTGTGTCGAGAGTAAGCAAGTAAGAAATCACAGCAAATAAAAGAAACGCTTGCAAGAAAAGTAAACAAAACAGGAGAACACCAGATTTAACGAGGTTCGACAAACGTGCCTACGTCCTCGGGGGTCACACTAGAAAAATCTTTGATTAATTGAAGAAGATTACAATGCTCGCAATTAGCCCCTCTCTCTCTAAGATCTTTGTTCTCAAAAAGCCGTCAAAACCCCTCTTTTTCATGTGTCAATTTACCCAAAAAACGTTTTAGGAAATATATATAAACCCAGCCCAAAACAGATTTCTAAACAAACTGAGAATCTGGAAATCCCGTCGTTGGTTGACCGGTGCATTGGTGTCAGTCGACCAGCCAGAGCCCTGTTTTCTACAGGATTCTCGTGCACCTTTTCGGTCGACCGGGGCAAGCTCGTCGGTCGACACCGAGCCGAAACTCCTGTAATGTTTTTGACTTCACATCGGTCGACCAGTATCACTGCTTCGGTCGACCGATCAGAGCGGATTTTCCTGCTCAGTTTCCTGCAGTCGATTCAGTCGACCGACACACGTTCGTCGGTCGACCGATGCTGGATTTTTCGGCTTCCTTGCTGACTTTGATTCAGGTTTTGGTCTTCATACTTTCAAAACCAACAATCTCCCACTTGGAGATGAAACCGCCATCAACGAGCTCTCCCGAACTCCCACCATCTTCGCAAGCATCTTCTCCTACCCGAAAAAATCCATTCTTCAATCATCATCAACCCGGCGATTCCGCATATCCTTCTAGTGTGGCTCCGCCTTCTTCTCTTACGTGTGAAGGCCAACTGAAGTTGCACACAACTCCAGTTTGTCGATGGTTACTGCTTTTGTCAACATGTCCGTAGGATTTTGGCTCCCTAAAATTTTCTCTAGTTGTAACTTGTCATTCTCTATCAGCGAGCGTATGAAGTGGTAACGTATGTCAATGTGTTTCGTTCTGGCATGGTATACTAGATTCTTGGCGGCAAGGTGTATAGCACTCTGGCCATCACAATAAAGAACGTTGTTCTCCTGCTTCAAACCCAACTCTTCCAGGCACCCGGTCAACCAAATTATCTTCTTATCGGCTTCAGTCACTGTGACATACTCTGCCTCAGTCGTGGACAATGTTACTATCTTCTGCAAATGTGGGACTCAGCTCACTGCTGTCGACGCTAAAGTATAAACATACCCTATGATATTTCGCCTAGTATCATGATCACCGGCGAAATCTGCATCCACGTATCCCTACAGTACCAATTCTTTTCTCCAGAAACACAATGACATATTCGTAGTCCCTCTCAAGTAACGCAATATTCACATCACGGCCTCCCAATGCTGCT